TTTCAAATTGAGATCACAGTGCAGATCTGTCATTGTCCCAGTCAAGTTTGACAGGTAATTGTTAGTCAGAATCAATGTTGTCCTGTGTGAAATAGAGCAATAAGTCTTTCACATTTCACATTCCAACCAGCACCATTATTGACCGCCTTGCGGACAGTTCTAATCCAAATGATCTTGAGATAGCTACCAGCTTCAGGATTTAGCCATTTCCACTGTGGTGGAAAGCACAAGAGCCTGCCTGTGGTTGTCCCAGAAGGCTGTACTTGTTCTGCACACAGTTTTCAATCTCCAGATTAGAAATGGCAGAACCTTCTAAAATGAGGCTGAAAAGTAACATTCAAATTTTAGCGTACGTCTGCCGTAAGTACTCCTTTCAGTTAGCTCTGGGCAATTGTTTCTTACATTTTCCCAGCTGTCCAGATTATCCTTCATAGAAGACTGTTCTTTCAGCAGTGGATTCCCTGACTTGCAGTCCTGTGTCCTTGACTGCCGACTACCCTCTCTGAAAACTCAGTTTTTCAGCTCCAACACTGCAAAGTTGGTCAGAGGCTTCTTGATAGATGAAGCAGGAGGAAATCTGATGGAGATATGGCAAAGAGTAAAACCCCTACTTCTCCACATTCTCTACTCCATTGCTTTGCTTGGTTTGCCATCTCACTCTATCCTTTCTTCTGGACACATTTGTGACACATTCTTACATTGTACAATCTCACACTGACATCGATGTCTTCTCCTCGTAGAGCTCATATGAGTTTAGGTTTAACACAGTCATACCAAAACTCCTGGTTTTCCCATTCAAGTTTTTCATCATCCAGCTTCTATCACATCATCAGTTACATACCAAGATCTCTCATCTCTGAAAGATCTCTCCCAACATGCCATATACATGTCATATCAGCAACAGTTTACATCTTCTTGGACAATGCCAGCCTCTTCTTACTGTCCATATAAGACTAACATCTGCAAGGTTCCAATTTCACTATGAACGTTTCATGAGATTATCAGATTTAAATTTGGGACTAAAGTTATGTCTTAGGAGTGCAGAACTGATTGTTACAACAAAGCTAAGCTTTTGCCTTTCACCTAAATTGTGGCAAAATATGTGAATTCTGTGTCAAAATTTCTGCTCAAAGTTGAGACACAGTTGGTACCAGACAGTAAGAGGAAAAGGTCAGCACTTGTCTGTAGAACAGGAACAGTTGTGTAATCTTAAACAGTTGTATGGCCAGGTGGGTTGGAGAGACTTCTCCCTACAAATTCTCCCAGTTTGGCTAGCTCTGCACAGATCAAGGCACAGAAAGGACAAAACATATAAACCACACTATGATAAGATTCAGAGGCTACTTCTTTATTTAAAACAGCAGTGTAGATAGTCAAATAGCCCCAAAATCTTGTTAAGCCATGGTGAAATAAATAGTTTTCCTGGATAGTTCAGTTAACTGGGTAAAAAGATTGACTTGATCGTGTGATACACATTTTTTCCTATTTGCATTTTATTTATTTAATTAGTTATTTAGTTACTTCATCACAAAACCAAGCAACATAGCAGTGTGATGTTTCTTCCTCAAACCTCAAGTTATCAGTTTTGCAATGGTTCAAGGGTAGTAAAAGTTCATTTAATAGCAGGCAACAGAAGCTGCCTCTAAGGCCCTCATAAATTCTTGGAACACAGGTTTAAAGTTTATTGTCAACTGATGGTTCCAACGTTAATATTTAATTACTTACTCTTTTAAAAACAAGACAGGGATTGTGAAGGTTGAACTTTAACTTTCCCCAGAGTACATTTCTGGGGATCCAGATAAAGTCAGACACAGAGGAAGTGTTCAAACTCACCTGCCCAGAAGGCATGAGGGAAATGACAAATTGCCCTTCCAGGAGAGGAAGCAAAGCTATAAGTTTACCTGGTGAATGGGCGTGATTCCTGGGGAGGCTCACCTTACAAAAAGAATCTGCATTCAAAAAAGCACAGTAAGACTAAAAATGACATCTAAAGATTACCGCTGAAATATTCAAAAATCCTGGAGAGAGGATAGTCAGGAAGCCAGCAAGTAAAAATTGAGCAAAAGTAATGAGACAGATGGTACAAGCAGTCTTCCTGCTGAGGTAAAAAGCAAAACAAAATAAGTAAGGGAAGTGCAGCTAGTGATGCAGATGATCGTGTATAGGAGCGTATTTGTCCCTGAGTGAGAGATAATGAATAGGGTTACTCATGGATTCAGTCAGACATATCTATGCACTGTAAGGCAGAGATTTTTGCTTTTCACTGATGGCACACTTTGTCTGCTCCCGTGCATTCATCTGAGAAGCAGGCATGAGATGATGTCTCAATTCCAATATTTAAGACATCAAAGAAATGTTTATGATGGTAACTTTTGCAGCAGTTAGTGAGATTGAAAGCTATCAGCTTGTAAGAAAATTTCCTTTTTTAGAGGAGATGAACCTAAGCAAGGAAGCTGGCTGGCGTTGCACAACCCATCATAAGGAGACCCACGCAGGAGTCTTTCCCAGTGAGCAGCTTGGACAGCATGTGTGATGGCAGTGTGTCCCTGCAGAGGGCAGAGACCAAAGATAACCCCAGGCAATGCTCCAACAACTCTCACCTTACCCCATCACAAGGATTCCTTTGCAATCAGCCTGACATTGTTCTGCAGGCTGGAAACATTGTTCTGCAAAACCTTTGATCTGTCCATTCCTCACCTAAGGGCAGCAGACAAATCAGATCTCTTCTCCTGATAAAAGAAAAGAATTTTTTCCCCCCCAAGACAAACAGAAGTTCATTACTAGAGTGGTCCAAATTAAAGTTTCAGTTTCATCACCTCCGTTCCCCTCCCCCACCTTAAATAATCTTTAGATCATACATTAAGTGCTAGTTTAATTGATGAATTATGTTACGCTAGATTTGACCTTGAAATGTTATTTTGAAGTGAAAACCAATTTTACTTGTGCATTTATTCTAAAAGTTATGATGCTTTGACTTTTTCAATTTGTTTCTTACATATTTTTTTTTTTCCTAACTGCCTATTTTTCCTTTGTAAAGAGCAATCTACAATCAAGATAGTGTTTTTCTCCATTATTTCTTGTTTTCTGGCTCATTGAATAGAGAACTGGCTAATCAATAGCAAGCAAAAGTTCATCACTTAAGTTCAAGCCTTGCCAGAGGAGCACTGCTAAGGCCAAGACTATGAATGGAGCTGGTCATTAATATTATGGAGGATGTGTAAGTATGTTGCTAAAGAACCTGCAGACAATGCACAAATAAGAGCTTCTGCAGATAGTGTTAGCAAAGAACATGGAACTCCCTCAGAAACTGGAAGCGTGACAGAAAGTAGAGTAGGAAGTGAGTTGAAGAACTGCAGGTCCTCTCTGATAGTTAGGATCTGAGGAAGGAATATGGAGAGGGACATGAAGGACAGCTATATATTTTGATTCAACAAGTATGTTCTTGGGTGTGGGAAAACAGCTTCTAAGTGTACTTTGCCTTATCTAGAGTTGATTTTTATGACACTTGTCAGTCTTCTTCTGGACAAGGACTTGTTGTCTATGCTGGCTACCTATGAAAGCCTCAGGAACTTCAATACCAGCGAAGTTCTGTACTGGCAGATGTTAACTGAACCAAAATTGCATTACCAAAAGGGTCTAAGCAATTTGGAAGGAATTCAAAGACTATCAAATGTGACTGCAGAACAAGAAGATTTGAAAAAAGGTCAGAAAGTCCTTTAAGTGATCCTAGAAAAACCTTGTGTGAGAACTGATATATGGCTGAAAAGAATCATAGCTGAAAGGTAATAAAGATATCAAAGAAAAGGAAGCTAATTCTGTGTGATGAGTGTTACGATAGCTAGAAGTAGTGAGAAAGAAATTAAAAGGCATGAAGTAGAAGAACTGCACTGGAGCAGTCTTCCTGACCAGAGGATTTGGGTTCAGAACAAATGAACCCACAGCTGAGCTGAAACTGGAATTCCTGTTCTAAAAAATGAGTCAAAATACTGAAATATCCCGCAACAGACATTCCTGAAAAATGATATTGAGCTGTTCTGTCTAAAATAGTATATTTTTTTGTTAAGACTTGTCACTAACCCTAAACAGTTACATGCTGTATACCATAACATTGCTCTAGTGGTTGGTTTTGTTAAAGTCAGGTGGTTTAAAATCTTTAAGACTTTCCAGTATTTTACCATGGATTGAGTAAGATAGCTACAATGTGACTTCCATAAGCTTTGAAACCATATATTTTTAAATCTACATAAATCCAACCTATATAAATGCAACAACTTTATTATTTTGTATTTTCCTGCATGTTACTATGTAGCATTTAGTAACTAGCAGTTATACTGCTTAGTAGTTAACAGTTATAGATGTCTTATTTCTTTTTTTAACTTGTTCTTGGTGGTTTATATTATTTTCTGGGGGCTGTTTATGATGAAGCATACCACAGAGAATAACAATTGTGTAGGTCGAAAGGATATGTGACTGAGCAAAATCTGAAGGATGTCTACAGAAGAGCTGTAGCTTCTATGCACCTCCTGTTTTGATTTTGGCTAGTTTAGAGTTAACTCTCACATGCAACATAATTTTTTTCATTTCTGTATCTTCAAAGTCTTTTGTTGCTTATGCACACAGATTTCCGCAGGGCTGTATTTGTCCTCAGGAATAAATAACTCCAAGAGTTGTAGTGTTCTCTCAGGAGTAGTGCTCTTTTTTGCTGATGGATGTCTTGCAGATAATGATACTGCTCAAGTAACCCTTGGTATTTTACTGTTGGTTTTGAACACCTGCCGATCATTTTTATCAGGTACAAAGTATCATAGAAACATAGAATGGCTTAGATTGGAGCAAACCTTAAAGGTCATCTAGTCCCAAACCCCCGCTATGGGCAGGGCTGCCACCCACCTGCTCATGCTGCCCAGGGCCCCATCCATCCTGGCTTTGAACGCCTCCAGGGATGGGGCATTCTCAGCTCCCTGGACAGCCTGTACCAGTGCCCCAGCACCCTCTGAATAAAACATTTCCTTCTGACATCTGATCTAATTATCCTCTCTGTTAGTTTAAAGCCATTCCCCCCTTGTCCAGTCCCTACTGTCCACCAGAAATCGGAATGAACAGGAGAACTCAAGTCCGAACAAAATTTCCTATATGCAAGGTCTTGCTCCTCTTTGTTAAGTCCTACTTTGGCTCCTAAATGTTCAAAGATTATTTGGCATCTTTTCTGCCAGAAGTACTAGCTTTTCCAGACACAGTAAAACTATGTATTATTTTTTGCAATGTCTTGACAGATTAATTTTTTTTTTGTCTAGTGAAAACATGGATGTTGATAATTCCTTCCCCATGAATTCTACATTTATGAAAACACTGAAATATTGAATCCAAATACATGGACAAATGGAAGCTGGTAGGATCTCCAGGATGGGCAGCAGGCACAGTGTGTCAGTCAGCATTCCCCCTTGTTCTGTTGTGCGTGCTTTGCCAGTTGCAGTATTTACATCCACATTCTTTATGGTAACAGCTATCTCCCTCGTCATCACTGGTGTTAGCATATGGAAAAGGTGGCATGCAGCAATCCACCTTTCAAAGTGCTTGATATGTCAGTGTTAGCACATCCAGCACAGCACGTGCAGTATCCCTCTTGCCAGTTCCATTCTGTCACTCCCTCCTGAGCACAGCACGTGCAGTATCCCTCTTGCCAGTCCCATTCCCTCACTCCCTCCTGAGCACAGGCAGTTAATTAATCAGTCACTTGGGAGGCTGTTGCATTTTCCCAGCAACAAGCTACAAAGATGCTAAGTTTACTGATCTTCCCAAGTTTAACCCCTTGTTTTATTCCCTCAGTATCTCTGATCTCTCCTTTTGTTCCTGTACTGGTTTTCCCTGAGGGTAATCTGACCTTTACTTTTTTACCCTAAATTCTAATGCGAGTTAGCAGATTATACACAAGTCCCATTCTGTGGTGGTTTGGTTTTTTTAATACTTTTTGGCATACTAAGCCATCTGGAATCAAGGACATCCTCTTTGTCTTTGGATTGAGGGAGAAGCCTGGAAAACTACACCAGGATCACAGACCAGATCTGCACCACTTTGCCTCAGCGCAAAGAAGATTTTCATCACTGTCCTGCCCAAATACAAAGAAAGGTATTTAGCATTGCTTAGTGCAAATATTTATGCACAGAGAGAAACACAAAGGCTGCCCATGTCGGCACGATTAGCATGCTGACAGTGCCTACTTAATCTTTGTTCTTTCATGGAGACGAGGGACGTGCGCTGCCCTGCTTCAGGCATCTAGGGCATACTGTACTGCAGCAAGAGAGGCAACAAGCAGTATTCTGCTGTGCTGCCTCCCCATGGGGCAATGATAGTTTATCCCTGGGTTTTGTCAGCTCAGACTCTCCCAAAATAGACGATGGTGTGTGTGACTGTGAACTTTCATCAAGCACCTAATCCCTGACAATGCATTTCAGTTGATGTTTCCATGTGACTCCTACCCTCGACTGGGTTTCATCTTGTGAAAAACAGGTGGAAAGCTCTCTCCCACTGTGCTACTACTTGGTTCTTTCTTGGTTCATTCACCAACAAGGGTAACTCCTTCTCCATGCATGGAAAATGTACACTGACACAAAACAAGGGTGTATTAGAGAGCAGATAATTGTCCAGGTATAGAACCTTCAGCAAATATTTCACCAAGCTTTGCTGCAATAAAGAGGCCATAGCAAGATACTCCTGTGACAAGAGACCTCCTCCAAGCATTTCTTGCCATTTTGATTCTTGCATGCAGTTCTGGAGAAGTAAACTCAGTAAGTGGTGATCTGTTGATCATTCTATAGGTGGGGGAATGGGAAACACTGCTTATGCCGCTCAGGATATCTGCTCAGGGATGCAGACATGACCTCACTGAATAGTGATTTTTCACATATTCCAAAGTAGCAGAATACTGTCACAGCCTTTGCATGAGATATAGAACAAGTCACCCACCATCTGAAATCCAATCAATACAGTACTCTGAAAAACTTTCCAGGCACAAGGTCTTCTCATGTGGTATCAGTCAAATTGAGTACTTAAGGAAATACCCTCCAGGAAACATAGAAAGTGCATGGTAGCAAAACATGAGGTTGATCCAGGTTCAGAGAGCAGTGTGAATGACAGTGTGGAGACAGGGGATGCCATAGATCACAGGGACAGCAGCCGTGCAGCACTGGGAGATGCCCTGGAGCTAAATAGGTTGTTGAAGCTACAAAAGAAATTTGCTTCCTGCTTGGATCCCCATTGGCTAGGGATGATATTTTGAGCCCTGTCAGGGCAGGCCCTGCTGGTATATCTAGCAGCAGCACTCCTGAACTGATAGAGATTAGGACAAGCACTGAAGATCTGTCAGAACTGGAGAATGGATCTGAAAATGCTCCTAATCTTCGTTGCATTTCTGCTTCCCTCTGTACTGGGCTTCCCTATTCAGGTGAGAGAAGATCCAGGCAGCCCTGCTCTTTCCTCTACTTGACTTGCTTTTCCTGGAGTTAAGCTGTGGAAACACATTTTGATAAATTTCTGACAACTAAAATACCAGAAATATAATAAGATATGAAGTTAATCTATTTCTTTTATCCTACTTTTTTTGATTTGATTTTGATGCTATTGTTGCTGTCCTCATGAGCTAAGGAATATTAACATCTTTTACTTATTGATTTTGCAGGACAACTATGAAAACAGCACAGCGAGTAAGTAGAATTTCTACTGATTTTAAAGACAAGTGTTAATTCCTGGCTTTGTATCAAATAAATTACATAACAGCAATTTGGGATTTTGGTCGTTATCTGATGCAAGTAATGTAGTTTTGGTGATAACTTCAGGTATACAATTTTTACAAGCTTGAAGTGTAACTACAGTCTTTATACTGTCAGGAATTACCAGCCCACTAATCTGCATGTATAAGGGATTTCGTGAGAGTAAGGTTTTCTTTTTGCCTGCTTACTAAGATACATATTTTAAAGAGAGTTATTATTACCAAGTGTATGGCTTCCCAGTGTTTTCATGAAATGAACAAACAAATAACAGCTGAAATAAGGAGAAATTAAGATATGTTTAAAGCAGAGCTTCCACAAGGTAGGAAAAGTTTAGGCTGTCACATCTCAACGGTTCTAGCAGTAGTGTTAGACAGAAGGATCTGTCTGCATGCAGCAGAACAAAAGATATGAAGGAAAATCTATGCTGCTCTTACTTAGTGAGGAACTCACCTAGAGAAAAGGAGGTGAGATCTGTGCTGTGGAGGGAACCACGTGTCCTGCAGGTGCCATTCTGTGCAGTGTAGTAGGTTCTGAAATGAATGACAGGCTGTGTTGTGGTGCTGCTGGTTTTGTGGTTACACATTATCATACTAATGTGAACTGCTTGGCTGAAACATGGGGCTGGCAAAGAGGCCACAGGAAAGAGGGAAAAAAGACGCAGTGGTGAAAGTATCTGCATGTCATCAGTGATGTGCGTGTTGTGGTAGAAAAAACTGTTACATCGATTTTACTTATAGCAGAGAGTTGAAAGTTCTGAGTAAGTGAAGACTCAGAGCTGTGTGTGCCTCCTACTGTGTTCCTCAGCTGCAGAGGATTGAACAGTAACTTCGACTTTATGTGTCAAAACACATAAAAATGGAAAAAGAATCAGAAGGGTATAAAAGATATATAAGTTTAAATTTCATCAATGTGTGGTAAATACAGGTGAACATATAAGACAAATTTGCTGATGAGTGCTGGTGAGCTGTAGAGCACATAAAAGCACCAATTTTCTTGTTCCTGATTTACTTTTGGGCTGAATGCAGATGACTTCCAACAGATGTGCTTTACTTACTTTCTGGATGTGGTTTGTTAGGTTAATTTAGGTGTGAGTTTAAACACTTGAAAATTCAATTTTTATGTTGAATTTTGATATCTTTCCTTTAAACTGAGCACTTGGAAAAGACTTAGCTATTCATTCGCCTCCTTGTCTGCCTTGGTGCAGCAGTTAAAGAAAGGGACATCAGGTGTCAGAGAAAGCTTTGCATTGTACTGTGACAGAAAACAAATAGTACAGAACAGCTTTTGTCAATTTGCAAAATAGAATGGGATCATTGCAGATTTCCAGAAAAAGTCAATGGAAATAAGCCTGTAGGTAGACCTTAATAGCAGCAAGAAACTGTCAGGTGCAGGAGTGATATATAGCGAGAGGCAGACTTGCTTGACATGTTCAAAAGAAGTAAGTGGCTAATGAAAAGTGACCGGTGCTTCTTTTGAGATGTCACTTATGACATGGATGAAAAGGGATGCAAATTTACTGTTCAGCAGATTTGGAGCCAATGGAGAGACATGCTTGCTGGAACTCAAAGTCACAGGGTTACTGGGCCAAGTTTTAATTGACCATTGTTACTACTTTCTGTGCCTTTTGAGACATCTTTCAGTATTTATACTGCAGGGTAAACTTGAACTGTATCATTTCAAAATCCGTATCATATCAGATATTAATTTGATCAGACACATGGTAGAGGCCTTCTGTGTTGTTTCACTTCAGTTTTAGAAAGGTGTTGTGGACTTTATAAGCCTAGGAATCTGAAGCATAATTTCCACCGACTTCGACCACCTAGATCAATGGAAGCTGTGAAAAGGGAAAGGTGCTGCAAGATGTGATGGCTGTATCTTCTGTTGAAAACACATGTCAAAAAGTCAAGCAATACGGATGGGCTTAGAAATATGCAAATTGTTTGCATAACTGTGGGGTTAGGGGGAGATAAAAATAATGGTTTTAAATTTGGACAAAGAAGACTACAATTATTAGCAACATGGAAGAGGTACTAGAAAGATTTGTTGCATATCCATCATACTTAAGAACAGGTCAAGCAAACAGTGGTCAAGAGTAACATAGATAAAACCACTTATGCCTTAGGGAAACTAGACAAACTGGATGACCTTCAGAGAATCTTTCAATTTCTGTACTTTTACGATGCTGTAACATAGAAGTTTCTGCTCAGAAATCTATATATCAGATTTTCCTTTCCGTGTTGGTATCTAGAAACCAATTTTTAGCAGAATTCAAAAGATGCCACACTAAAAATATATCTTAGAAATAAGGATGGTTCCAAGGTGCTGTCAGATACATCCTGAAGTCAGGATTATTTGTCTAGCACTAAATGATAGCCTTCATTCAATTTCATAATTTTATCCTTTAGCTCTCTGAAACCAGAGAAGACTGCTGGGCTGTTATCCTGCACCTTTTCCAGTTAAATCTGGGGACAAAGCATATTTGTTCCAAATTTCCTCTGTCATTTTTTGCTCTGAAGCTGACAAAATGCTTTGCTGATTTCTTAGATTATAAATAATCATGATTCTGTACTTCTAGGAGTTTTCACAGCTGTTTGTCTAAATCTTGATTTAATTTCTGTGCATATATTTATCAGTTAGTGCAACTAACTTCAAGTCCTTCAAGCAATGGCACCTGCCAAAGGCATTCTAACGGCTGAGGAGCCTATACTATTGAAGTTGCATTCAGAATCTAATTTGTCCCTTGTCTTTTTCTTCCTTTCTTTTAGCAGCAACAGAATCTACTCAGGTAAGGACAGCTAAATCAGCTCCTTTGTTCACTTTGGTGTGCAGTATTGGCTTCAAGACTCATCTACTCCATCCATATTGCCATCTGAGCAGGAAAGTCTTCTCAGATAAAAAGTACCAGAGTGCTTGGTTTCCTTTCCTGTCCCATTCATTGCTTCGCAATACCCAAATACAGATACAATCCCAGGAAGACTTTGCCTCTTCTGGAGTCATAGGGAAAACTCAGATCTGCTTTTAATTTCTGCCAGGCAATGGAAGCATGGCAACTTGTTTTGCTACCAACATTACCTCCCCAAGCTAGGCGTCAGTGCACAGTCCCCTATAAGCAGTAGATGCTATGGCCTATCACCACAAATGTGGGATAATATTATGGGGATTTCATCAGAGAATTCACAAATTTTGCACTCTTACTAGCTGGGAGAAGAATGAAGCTAGAAGCTCTGAAACATGCTACATGCTTTAAAATGCATTTCATGAGTCTCCAGTTTTCTTCATGATATCTATAAATGCCAAAAGAAAAGAAAAGCAAAGAAAAATATCTACCACAACATGGTAGTACTTATCTTACCCATGATACAGTAAATAACTCAAAACTGCAGAGGTGCTTAAAATAGTAGCCCTTCTGTTCCTTTGCATCTTTTTTTTTTTTTTTTTTTTTTTTTTTTTTTAATAATTTATGTTATAATATCAGTTGTGAGATAAAACTAATGTATTGTCCTTGTAGGTTACTACTGAAGAGGACATATACGGTATGTATTATTGCATTGCTATGTAAGTACTTGCTAGAGTATACCAGCTGTTAACTACCCAGTTACTATAGAAAATAGCACATGCTTAACACAAGTTAATCTCAGGGAAGGAATTTTAAATGAATGCACTCACCAGAGTATTGCATGTAAAGCAGAGTCTTTTGATTGCGGTCGGTTTTTTGGCTTAGCTGAAAATCTGTTATTTTTTCTAAAAATGGCTCTGCGCAGATAATAACTAAGTAACTTCTGAAAGTAACAGCAATCACAGAGACCATCTGCCTGTGCTTTTTCTTGATGTCAAGGCTCAAAGAAAGGCACTCAGACTCAGCTGATTTTATTCACTACAAAGTGCAGAAGTCCCTGATGTTGAGCTTATGAGGGGACAACAGTCTCATGAAATAGGAATTCAGTTCTGATTTCATTGATTTCAAGGGTTTTTCAAGAAGAGTATACCCAGCAGTAAAGAGCAGGACTACTCTCCATCCATATTTATCCTAGTGTGTTAGTGGGTTGTGTGTGGAAAATGCATGCAGGACAGTTGTGTTTACTGAGTGCCAGGAAGAAGACGTGTAGACAAGAAGAATTGCCAGCTGGCCTCCTATACAGGATAAAACAGGGTTAAGAAGAACCAAAAAATAAGTATTTAAAATACAATGACTAAATAACAAAGGCAGAGAGAAGGATTGAAAGGAAATGGTTCTTGGTACTAGATGAATGCTGAAATAGCCACAGCTGCTGGGAGGTTCACAAGGTTGTGTCACTGAGCAAAGATACACATGATTGAACACCGTGCCAATGCATCAATAGGCTCAGTGAGTTTCAGTATGCCACTGTAATCAGGACCAGAGCAAGAGGAGCTCCTGGAAACTCATTAGGTTAAAAATGAGGATTCAGGTTTTCCTTGAGAATTAGAGAGTGATACTCTGTATTTTCTACACAGATTCTCCATCACCAACAGAGATAGATTCTGAAGATGAAGTTATTTTTAACAGAATTTTGGAAGTTAACAAAGGTAATGCCATCAGAGTTCTACTTATACATGGCCTTTCTGCTGATCTGGGGGAGGCAGCAGGGAAGGTACAATGTCTTAGCACCGTAAGTGCAATCATTTTTTCTGTCTTATACATACATAAGAAACCCTCAGAGACTGGCCACAGGGAACACCTTGTCTGTGTGTTCTGCTGAAGGCCTACGGCACCTCAAATGTCTTGTCAATATTGAAGATGATATCAGGTGTGAAGGCAACTGAGCTACACAAGCAGCTTCTTCAGCTTTAGTCCTCAACGTCTTGGTCTTTCTATGGACACAAAATGAGAAACTGGATAATTGGATGCTTTGTTATTTAACTGCCTGAGTGCAAGCGTTACTTGCATTCAGTCATCATATCACTTTGCAGTACAGACTCCTACATAAGCAACAGTCAGTTTCAAGCCCCCTGCCCTAGATATTCTGCACCTTCATTCTTATTATTCACCGCTTTCTATCAGCTTTGCTTTTTCACACTTTCAGGGAGGAGATAATGTCATTCTTGAAACTTTATTCCTGCCTGTAGAAACAGACCTTTCCTACAGTTTTCTACAAATATAATTCCTTTCAGTTTGTCCCTCCCCATCAGGCCTCTTAGCTAAGAACAGTGTAGGGAAGTGGAGAATGTCCATCTAGCTAAACAGTCCACTCACTTCCCATGCTGAACAGGAGCAGATATGAAGGAAAAATATGAAGGAGCACAAGTAGAATAATACTTTTCCAAATATGCCCTAGACAGCTCCCAGCAATCTATGGCTCAGGTATTTCCATCCCTTCTTTTTCACCACAGACAGCTCTCGGTACTTGCAAGAAGGTGACATAGTCCCTCGAAGGAGCCGCAGTGCCATCAACTGTCGCAATTGCTATTGGCCTCAGTCCAGGGATGGGATTGTTCGTATTCCCTATGTCTTGGATCCTACTTATGGTGGGTATAAATTCCATTCCCTTCCCTTCCCTTCCCTTCCTTTCCCTTCCCTTCCCTTCCCTTCCCTTCCCTTCCCTTCCCTTCCCTTCCCTTCGGATTTTATCCAATAAACTTCAGATAGAAACCTACTTCTAGTGGCCACACAGTCAATGAAATCTATTCTAAGGATTTATTTCTGCTATGCAAGTACAGATCAACTGTAAATTACAAAAAATCAACAGATCAAATTTCTTTGAGCAGTTGGCATCCTTAATGTTTTGAGTAGATCTCTTAGAGAAAACATTAATCACATTCTCTAATAGCATCTCCAGAACACCTGCCTTTATAAGATTCGTGATATTTGCAATGCGGTTTGAATGGCCTAGTTTTTATTAGCAAAATATCTTCCTACATCTGCCTCCAAATGAACCATCAGAAGTTGTAGCAACAATTAACTTCTTGGTTTAAATTGTAGCAATAAGAATAAAATGTTCCCACTTGAATCCTTTTTGATCCTCCTGCAAAAGGAGAATCTCATGCCAGGCTAACACCTGAAATGAATTAAATTACTAAGCAAGAAGCAAGAAAGAGCCTAATCTAATGCCTGTGTCCCTCATTTACCCTGTTTTTGTGCACCCATGATATTTTAATGACACTTGTTATTGTTAAGTGACCCCCTCTCCTCTCCCCCCCCCCGCCATACTAACCTTTTCTTCTCCAGAGGAAAACCACGTGAAAGGGATTCATGAAGCCATGGCAGAATTTGAAACATTGACTTGTATTAATTTTGTGAAGCGCAAGACAGAACGTGACTACCTCATCATTAGATCTGCTGATGGGTGAGTTGAAAGATAAATGAGCAAGTTATTTCTACAAAGCTTTTTGATTCCTCACTATTCACATCTTGTGTGACCTTGAAGAGGAAGAAGGTGTGAATTTAGACAAGAATCTTTTTTTTTTTTTTACAGTTTTTTTTTAACAGTGCAAGGTATCCTGCAAGTTCAAGGACACAGCTGTTACATCAGTGACTTAGAAGTGACTGATGATATTAAAAAGAAAGCCTTGAGGTGGAGAGTGTGTCTTATGTTGCATATATATATTACACCACACAGAAAACATCCACTTGAGCAAAGTATGTAACAGGTTATAACAGCAGTCCTTACTTGCACAGACAAGGTCAATTGTGACTTACAAAATAAAAAGTTATCTAAATCAGAGTTGATTGTTAGGGTTAGAATTTGATCCTGTGAGAGAACTGTTCAACATATGCCACCTTTAAAATGATATTCATAGCTTCAGTTCTAATACAGGATTCAATCATTTGGATAAAAATGTTTTTATCTAGGCAGTTAAAATCACTGTGTACAGAAAGCTAGCATGCAGGAGCCTCTTTGCTAATGAAAGTCTTCCAGGAGGCCTTAACGATGACCATAAATAGTTGACATTTTCTACATCATGGCCAGTTTTGCCTTTTTGTAGACACTATCCCAGGGGACAGAATGCAATCCTTCTGCTCCCACATCACATGAGGCAAGGTTCATGTGAAGCAAAGTTCTCCATACTGTCCCTTTGCCTGTCTGACAATAAAAATCCTGTAAGTCTTCTCCTGGTGTTCAATCTCAGATGCTGGTCCAACTATGGAAAAGTAGGAGGTGGACAGACAGTATCTGTGATGAAAGGAGGCTGCATGTGGAAAGGAATTATTCAGCACGAACTGGACCACGCTCTGGGGTTTTTGCATGAACATTCTCGAAGTGACAGGGACAGATATGTAAGAATCATGTGGGAGTACATCAGCCCAGGTAAGTGCTTTTGACTTCCTCTATGTAGGAGTAGATATATCCTGTTCCCAGCTCTTCCTTGTTCCCTAAAGTGAGTGAATAAGAAGCACACACTAATACATTACCTTATATTACAGCTGACAGACCAGACTTCAAGAAATTTGAAAACTCCAACAATCTAGGTCTTCCTTATGACTATTCTTCAGTAATGCACTATGGCCCGTAAGTAGCAATATGATGTTGTTTTTGTTGGAACTCAAATTTTGCATTAGAACGCTTATAGCAGTCTTCCAACCAGTAGAACATTGTGAGTCAATTCAGTTCTTCCATTCCTCAAGGTTAAATCATTATCCTTTAGTTTTCTTTATGGAGTCATTCACAGCCGAGCCTGGGGGAAAAGAAAGCCGTCAGCTTACTGATGGACATCTTAATCAAACCTAATTGGATAGCAGTTTAGAGCCACAGCAACAACCAAGGTAGAAGCATCAGAAGCTCCCTTTGCCATTTGGAAAAAAAAAAAAAGGGTTAGATAGCTAAGACTGCCTGCTAGCCATCAGTCACAGATAGGTGTGTAAGGAAGAACTGATTTTTTCCTCTGATTCATACAATTGCTATTTTCCCTCTAAAGGATATAGATTGTGCTATTAAATCCTGAAAAATGCTGTTTCATTTGAAGAACAATTTTTTATTATTTATTTATTTTTATTTTTTCCAGACACACATTCACTAATACCACTGGAAAAGCAACAATTGTACCGGTTCCTGATGGATCAGTACATATTGGACAGAGGCTGGGGTTGAGCAATTTGGATGTGGCCAAAATCAATAGGCTTTACAATTGCAGTAAGTTCCTCAAAGCTGTCCTTTCACCTTATGGTACTCAGCTCCTTGGTGGAGGTGTATGAGCAATATGCAGTGGCAGCAGTTTATCATCAAATACTATGAGATTACTCTCTAAATTCATGGTACCCATACGGTCACTATGGGAGAGAATGCAAAGGTCAAGCTGGAGAAATGCTGTGATTAGTGAGATACTATTTTCTACCTCAAAAATAAATCAAACACATTCACTGTTACAATGTTGCAGCAATGACTTAACTGCATATCATGCTGTAAGCTTCATGGAGTCATTGGGCTTGTTAGGGCTCAAGGGACAGCTATAAACCCACAAAAAGTCAGACATTACTTTCGGCAAGTGTGGTACTGAGATAAATGCTTCTCCCTCAGGTCGCTGCAGCACTATTATTGATGCAGCGTTTGGATCACTAAAATCTGCCAACTACCCAAGAAACTATTCAGATAACACCAACTGTGTCTGGCTTATCCGAACCCGATCCAGAAAGGTAATCATAAGTTAATAATGGTCTTGGTATATGGCTGAACTTACGTCTTTCTTTGTAAGGCATTTTGCTTTTTTTCTGCATACCAGTTGCCATATAACATTTTTTTTCATAAGAGAGATTTCAAACTAGTCTCTACTTTTCATGTTCTTAAGCCAGGTATGGGAAAAACAACTGCAGAGTTGTGATTTTGGAAAACCTCCATGCATTGGGCTTCAGGTTTGCAAAATCAAGACAAAGCAGTCTGAGCATGGGAGCATTCAGTCACAGGCTCATTAGACTGAATCCTGCATCTTCAGGGGATGAGAGGCAAGTAGGGGCAATCAGTTTCAGTTTGGTTTTGGACACAGCTTGGATTCTGTCTCATTTAGAGGACATTCAAACAAAGAAGTCACATATGTGTGTATGAAAGGCTTGTTTTTGATTGCCTTCCAGATTTCTCTGCACTTTCGTGCCTTTCAGCTGAGGACAACCAGAGGCTGTCAGGGTGATTATGTTAAAGTTTATGATGGATCCAGCAAGTATTCTACAGTTTTAATGGACAAAACCTGTGGATCACGGATACCCAGTGACATAGTTTCTTCTGGCAATCTTATGCTCATAGAGTTTGTCACAGATGGTGCTGAAACAGCTTCTGGTTTCCAAGCCACCTTTACTTCTGGTAGGTTAGAGAACATGGAAAATGGCAGAGAAAAAACAAACAAACAAGCAAGCAAACAAACAAACAAAAAAAAAACACTGTCAAATCAATAGGGGTTCTATCTTCCTCTTTCTTCTCTTTTGGGAAAACAATGAGGAAATGATTTCTACAGGAACCATTATTTCCTTCCTTGCTTTTGACCTTATGGATCAGTACTACACTGATACCATTTATTCACTCAGGAAAATGGGGCCATACTTAGAGCAAATTTTCAGCCAAGTGATTTCCAGATTTCACAATTTGGCTTGTCTTTCAGATACACACTATTCCAAAGTATGCAACAATAAGGACATGATCACTTTAAAATTACTTATAGGGTTACTAGCACAGTAGAATGAGAATAAATCATAACGTAGAATTTAATTACATTGCTCTTCTGAAAAAGATGCAGGTTTTGATCAAACAGTTCTAAGAGCAAGAAAGATTCATAGTGTACCAAGTCACTCAGCCCTGAAGCAAGAAGAGAGGAAGTATTTCCTCTCACACAGCCAGGATCCATGGAATTTATCCACCTGAAATACATTCTTTTCAGTCCCATCTAATTAATAACTAGAGCCACAACTATACAATTCAGTTGCCACAGGCTGTCACATTAGTATGTGTCAGCTGGAATAAAGAAATGTCACTGTGCATTTCTATAGCCAACAGCAAACTATACATACAGTAATGCAGCTTGGCTTCATTAGTTGAAAGAAAGCTCAGCAAGCTCATGACCTTGCATTTGTTGTGGGCTAAGAACATCCATACAGAGAAATGCAGTAATTTAGATGTATATCCAAACCTGAACAGCAATATTGCTTGTATGGTATCTATCTCTGACAATTGTAGCTATAGAAGGAAAGAAAAACAAGAAAAATCTCCACACCACTTTTATGTGTCTTAGAGTAGAATAGAATCATAGAATGGCCTGGGTTGAAAAGGACCACAATGATCATTTAGTTTCAACTCCCCCTGCCATGTGCAGCGGATCATCAGCTACAAAATGATCTGGTTTTGGATAAAATGTGATTTAACTTCTACATAATTCAGAGATTCTACTGTTTGTTCAGAGTGCTCTGAAAGCTAAATATTCTTTCATTTCACTTACAGCAAGGATCCAAAGAAGATTTAACATCTACAACTGATTTAATGGAGAAGAATCTATTCTGTGAATATTGAAATTATGGATTTCCAACTCTGCTCCTATCTTGGCTTGGATCAGTATGCAATTTAATTCTATTAAGAATCAAATTCTTCATCTTCTTGGGAAAGTTTTTCCCCAAGCCATATAAATGTATGAATTCTATACATCCTAGTGTATTATCCCTTTTGTCTGCACAATTAATTTATTACCTCTTTCTATTTAACAATTTAATTAAAACCTTCATAAAAAAAAAAAAAACAAACCTGTTTCCATTTCTATTTTCAGATTGTCTCTCAAACCATGCACAATATCAATGTTATCTTATTTCTCAGACACCTTCATTCAGCCAAACTGTTGCACACTCTTAAATGCATCATTGATTTCATCATGAGTTTAGGCATTTGGCTGGAGAGAAGATCTTCAACTTTACAAACACACGTTCTGTTCTCCACAATCTTCAGCATTAAAGAAGGTTTTAGTTACTGCCTTTTTTTCCTAGCTTGATATTCAAGCTTCCAAAAATGACACCTCTCTTAAATGATCCTGTTATATCCTTAAATCACAAGAAACATGGACATGACAAAGTTGTTGCCATAAAGGACTGGTACATCCTCTTGTACAGTTCTGCTAGGCAGGGGCCAGCTAAAGGGAGCTTGTTATTCATAACTCAGTTTTTAGTCCACAGACACATTTAAGCTCACAGGACGAGAGGTAGACAAGACAACACTGCCAGAGTTCACACACATCATCTATTCTTCAGCAAATAAATTTGTGAGGCAAGAAACTAAACTTCCCTTTTCTGATTACTCAAGGAAGACAGAGAACTGTAAGATTGGCTGAGCTCCTGGAAAGCTCATTTCTTAGAATTTGCTTGTAATCACACTTTCGAAATGGCATTCACTTGACTGAGAAATGCATGTCTTTTCCTAGCAGATCTGAAAGCAAAATATACGAATATTTCACTCTCGTGTAATAGACAGACTTAAAATATGGCCAACCCTATTTAATACTTGTAAGTTTAGGTCTGGAAAAAAAAAAAAAAAAAGGGAAAAAAAAAAAGAATTACTTTTCCCTGTTCTTTCTTTGTAACATTGGGAATCTTGGATTTTTTTCTGCAGAAATACATTTCTAGAAGAGAAGGGTGGGAAATCAGTTTGAACCACAGAGTAAAGCTTATACTGCAAATTACTGACTTTTAAAAAAATTTGTTATAGGAAGCACCAAAAAGCCTGAATTTGCAAGAGTTTGCTCAAAGCTTGGTCAGTATAATATTCGATGAGGAATCAACCACTTCTTTAAAACTAGAGAAACATTCATTGCATTGAACATTGCTTCCTCACCCACAGCTGTGTAAAAGGTTTGAAGACAGTAATTTTGAGTTTGCTTTAGAACAGGTGCTTCTTCAGTTTTGCAGAGATTGCAACACAAGTTCAGCTTCTAGTTGTTCCAGTTATTAGCATTCAAGTGTTGCTATCAACACATCAAATAAAGAGTAGTCCTTCTGAAATACTGTAAAAAATGTGGTTCCAGAGAAAAATACTTAACAGTGATGATCCCTGAGCCCCTGTGAAACAAAATGGAGGAAATGCTGCAAAACCTACAGCTGTGTTAGTGAGAACAAATTGTATTAATTTTTATGTAGATAATGAGGACTACCTATATGAATCTTCTAAGATATGGAATTGTTATGTATGGGAGTGTAGTCTTCTAAAAGTAGAAGTCATTGTCAAAATATTTACATGTTTATATCAATATATTATATGTATACAATATATTTATTCTGATTTTTCTGTATGAGTCTCTATAATGCTTTTTTTTTTTTTTTTTTTACAGTGGCATATTTATATATAGCTTTACAGACTTTTTTCATGGCTTGAATAGGATCTGGCAACAAACTTCTGAGAACAGAATGCCAGAAAAGAGAACATCTGCTTAAAGAAATCCTAGTACATGAAGGAGTTTGGAGAGTTTCCAAGTAAAAGTGCCCACTTACTCTTTTATTAGCTTTTATGCAAGCTTCATGGAGCAAAATCTCTTTCTCCTGTCAGGAATGACCTCCGCCTTCACTGAGCATGGACATTTATAACTTGTGTTGTGCTATTTACCCCTTCAGATTTAATGGTGGTGGAATTTCAATGGCTTTCAAAGAGGTCTGGCTTGTTTGTAGAGGTATTCAGCACAAGGAAGCAAAAATGTGTTCCTAAGTTTATGGATGCAACAATATACTCCCCAGAGTCCCTCATTTATTTGAGGAATTAAAACTTTTTTGCATTTTGTAGACTGCTGGAAGAGGTTCAGAATATTTGTCTCATACCTAACCCTAATTTGCAGATAGAAACCATCTTGTTCAGAAGAATAATTCCATCAATTACTACATAGCACAAGATGTACTGCATGACTCTCCTGATTTCTAGTTTTGGAGTGCTGATTCAGAGGAAGAAGTTGATGATAGCCACTAATCAAAGCTAATTTGGGCTATATAAGCCTCCACATACACAATACCCAGCAGGGATGGACAATATCTCTTTTAGGACACGAGTTCTCCCAAACTACATCCATAGCAATCCAGCCAGGCCAGTCTTTGCGTAGAGATTCTTAACAGAAATACGAAGATTGGTAGGAATGCTGTAGGGAAGGAAATGTGCACGTGTGAGAAAGCCTGAAAGAAGCAGCAGAACAAGGGTTACAAGAACAGCCTGTATTGATAACAAGGGACACCATTCCCATGACGCTATTCCCATGACATTGCACCCAGGAGGATCATGGAGGAATGCATTGTTTCTGGCATCACCACAGGGCCTGTCCTCAGACAACAGCACAGACTTGCCAGAGAAACATCCCACACCATTATGCTAGCAGGCTTGCAGCTACTAAATGTACAATTCTTTTTCCTGTTGTCCCAGCAGGAAAAAAGGCAAATCCTTCCAGCAGTTATAAACAACATTATTTGGACAGTATTGAGTCTTCTGTACGGAGGTACAAGGCTGTAACTTCTGTGTTAATTTCAGTGGTCTGAACTCCTCTCCACTAGGGACTATGCAGACATGAGACAACTGTATTCTTACCTTGGAGGTCAGGATCCCCGTACTGGGGTCTTAGTGCACAGTCCTGGGACTCGTCAGGCTGGCTGGGCCATGCAGCAATATGTCACACCACCCATGCTGGCAGGGCTGATGCAGCGTGTTGGCTCCTTCACCTGCATCCTCTACTTCTTTCTGTCCTGGAATTCTTTCCCTATCCCTTTGCACATCCTCATTCCCCTCCCACTTATCTCACAGTCATTCCTAGAATGGCAGAAACAGAGAGGGAAAAGACATATTACCTGCATTTGTATGTTTTATACCTCTTTCTTGAAAGCTGTAAAACTAGTATCAGAAATAATACCCCTTTATTCTTTTTTTTCCCCTCTTGTTAATTATCATGTTTTCTTTGCTTGTACATAGATAAACCCCATAGATTTTATTCTTTTTATTTCTATATCTTTTAATCTTTGATAAATTAAATCTATTTCATTTGATTTAATATACTGCACATTTTATTTTAGTCGTATTTTTTCATTGACTCTTGTCTCTGAAGTAAGGAACTTGGTAATTTAGCATCTAGAAATGATGACAGCAAACATTATTTGACCAAGGAGGGCTCCAACCACAACAATCTACAAATTACAGCTGAAAAGTGTTGCATCAGGATAAATTTCTTATTTACATATAACTGCCTGGAGCAAGCGTGAGAAAAATCATGTGCTGCCCTATATTAACTATTATTGTATTTTAGTACATATTAAATTTACTATTTAATCCACACGCTGCAATTTTACATTATCTTGACTGAACTGCAGCTCAATTTTCAAAAATCAGTCAATCTCAGTGAAATAAAAAATGATGAATATCCCTCTCCTGTAAGCATAAAATGACCACTCTGCACAGAAAGATTGTTTTGGAGAACATTATTTCTTTTTCAATAAATTGAAAACTTGGTTTCTGGCTATTACCAGAACAATGGATACAATTTTAAATCCTTTTTCTGTCTTTTTGGAGGGACAATAAAAGGGAATATGGAGTAATGCAAATATTGAAGATGTTGTCTTGAACTGTAAAACTGTATGAAGTGTTACTTATGTAGAGTAACACTATATATAGATAAATATCTATTTTCATAAAAAGATGCAAATGAATAAACCAGCTACAGACATTCAAATCAATACTCAGATGAGGCATTCACACTGATGACCATTTTTTGCACATAAAACTGAAGTAAAAACAAGATCCATCCAGCTGTGTTTTAGGATAGACCTAAATATAGTCATCATCTCCTTGTTTCCACCACATCAGACTGATGCTATACTGGATGACACTTGCCCCACAGGTTTCTGCACCATAGAAATGTTCTCCTCCGTAGCCAAATGCTTTTTCCAACTGCAGCACTGCTTGGAGGCAGTTGAGGGCTCCACTTTCCCACTCACACTGTGGTTACAAGATAGCATCCACCTTCAGAGCAACACTTCTTTCACTTCTGACCACTTTCTGATCACTGCAAACTTCACATCAGCCCTCCTTCCCACAGCTGTCCATCAGCAAAGCCGAAACGGGGCGGGAAACAAAACCACATCCTGCAAATCAAAGCAGGTTTTAGCTGCCGTCGTCCCAGTTGGACAGGGAATAAAGGCAGCGCACTGCGCCTCCTCCCGCGCTTTTAATGACGCCCCGAGGATGCCTTGCCGGCTCGCGCCGACCGTTACATTGTCCTCCCTCACAGCGCCGCGTGGGGGCAGGAGGGAGCGCGGCTCTCACAGGGGAAAGGAGCCAGCCAAAGCTTCCAAGTAAAACGTCTTTTTTAAAAAATTATTATTATTTTAAAAATTCATTTATTATTCCAGAGCGAACTTTTAAAACCGTTTTGGAAATCCTAGCTGAATAATGCTGGTTACAGCAGTATAGCAATCACGCTCCTCGTGCCATGCAGGAGCTGTACCGCTCGTGCTTCTCCTCAGATCAGTTCTACTCCGCCCCGTTAAACTTCTTGTTGCTCTTGCTAATTTAGTCAGTAATCACAAAACGGGGGGGACTTCTTCTGGTGGATAATTTATTCAGCCCATTCTTCCTTTCCTCCATTCACAAAGTGTTCAGAAATCTTCCAAATTTAATGCCTGAGTTTGCGAATATTGTCTCTGCATGAATGCTTTATGAACATTTATTGTGTTTATTCATTATTCACATTTTAACATGAATTCAGTGTTGGTTATGTGCCTAAATAGTACAGTTTCTGCACCGTAACTGACTGACTCGTGTAACTCACCCACACATTTTCCATTTGAAATGTGAATAATCACATTCAACCATATATTTTGAGACTATTTAAGCTTTCACATCTAAATTTATTTTTGCAAGCTAACATAAAGCTTGTTTTTTTATTTTTTTTTAATTTTTTATTTTCTTCTTTTTTTTTTTCTAATAATTCTAATTAATATTAGCAGACATTTTTTCATTGCTTACTCAGCTCTGATAATTGTGTTTTGTTGACCTCTGTTTTCCTTCAGTTTCAACTGAGTGAAGAAGTCTTTTTCTTCATCTTCTAGGCTATTTTTGAAGAGTTTCTGCATGCTGAGAAGTGTTTGTCACAGTACACTGCAGAGAATTCTGTTCATGGAGTGAAGCCTTTTGGGAGGATTCTTTGATGAAAGGTATCTCAAGCTGCAAGATTTTTTTTTTTCCAAATTCTTTCTAAACAATGGAAAATTCATGTCTCTTAAGTAAAATATACTGCTTAAAATTATGCATTTATATATGTTTGAATAGAAACTATTTTTCAAAGCTAGAGATCACCTGTGTCAGTGAAAATCAGTTACAGATGCATATATATTATGGTCTTAATAAAATAAGTGAAAAATCAAATTGTGATATTTAGGCAGTGTGAGTAGTGCCTTTTTGTTCCCAAGTTGTAATTTTTGGATATCCTTCACTACTAGGAGTGGTAAGCAAATTCTGTAGAAATGAATAGAAGCTATATTTTACAAAACAATACATTTTCACAGCTTTTTGATAAGCTTCAGTTAAATTTGCAGATTGCTAATATCTGAAAATGCATACATTCTTGATGGTTATAGTTGGGACATAGAATATCACAGAAGGTCTTCCACTGAAGTTATGGCAGATCAATGAATTATGTCAGTGGAATTGCCAGGTCACAGCCCGAACAGTGGTAGAGCATCAGGTGAGTAGGCATGGCTAGCCCAGGGAGTTCAGGTGTAAGCAGTGTTCCCAAATGACTGGAAGGGTGGAGCCTGGATCCACCCCTCACCCTCATTTAAGGGTTAGCAGCAGAGAAAGCAGTGTTTCTCTGAGTCAGTACTACACTTGTCTCAAGCTATTGCTGGTTGTCAGAGGGGGTGAGTCAATTTTTTTTTTCTTTATTATCTGCGTTTTTTCCATGAGTGCCTGTATCCCATTTGAAGGCGCTGTATTCACCTTCTATTGCCATGCAGGAGGGAAAAATGTAGTAACTTCATATGTAACTGAATTCTTTATTGTTGGTTAGCGTTGCTAGTTTAATCTGTCTGTGTGCAATGAAGAAACCTATGTCTTTAGTGTGGGAATGAGGTGTTATCAAGGACTTGCAATCCTAACTCAATTACAATAGCAGAGCACTGGTACAAGTTCTCTAAGAGGTTATGGAGTCTCCTTTGAAGGTGTCCAGAAACTGTCTGGATACAGTTCTGGGTGATAGGCTGTAGGTGATCCTGCTTGAGCAGGAGATTGGACTGTAATGACTTTCTGAGCCAACTATTCTGATTCTGTGGGTGTAGGGGTGGGAACAGCATGGTGAACTATGGAAAGAATCTGTTGGCTGTACTTTAAACAGAAGGTTATTGTTAAATGTAAGTGGGAGAGAATGGAGTTGAGGAGTTCAGAAAAGGCCTAATGTATCTCTGGACACGAAGCGGTGTTCTGGAACTGAAACTGAGGTTTTTTCCTGTCTATGTGATCTGCGATTATTGATTACTACTTATCTGGAACTTTGTCAGACAAAGCGTGAGAGTATTATTAGCACTGTATTAGAATAGCCAAATGCTTTTTCTCATCTCTGATCAAAACCACTTCTTTTTCTGATATTCTCAATAGACATGTTCACGAGTATTACCATTTGAGGGGATTATGACATTTTGATGAAAGAACCGTTTGCAAATCTCACATATCTACAAGACAGCAGGGTGTATTGTCTCCACAGAAATGCACAGTTGTGCTTTGTATTGGCTAACTCTTTCATGACTGCGGGAGTGGTTTCTCTCTGTAATGTATTCTTTATGTACAAGAGATGTGTATTCTTTTGTATGTTTAGGAATATGATAGCTTTTTACTGATGAGATCTGCCTCTTCCTTTTTCAAGGACAGAATTATTCATATTGAAAGGGTGTTGTAATATATCAACTTTCTCAAACTTAGGTTAAACTTGAGGTGATGTTATCTGAAATAATTATTTTTTTCTTCTGTCCTGGTCCAAAAACCCAGGCTCTGAGATTATTTCACTCCACAACTCTGAAGAGTAGTAATACCTATCATTCATGTGACTATATCTCAGGTATTTTCTTCTCTGCCAGAGTACTGGCATACTGATGGAACTGCTGAGCTCATTTTAAAATATACAATGCAGAGCTTCAAGTAACAGAAGCAAAGCAGACAATGAAAGGTGTAAGGAGGAACCTAACAGAAAAGTGGAATTAACAAGGTATGGGTGCCGTGCCACTTTCCTCTTCTCATTTATGTTGTGTAACTTTTCTTGTGGTTTTGCATATAGAACACCAATCAATCTGGCAGAGTTGCGTCTTACTGACTGATGCAATATTAAAACAAAGAAAAAAAACAGATCCCGGATAGTCAGTGCTTTACAGATTTTTTAAGAAGATATTTTTTCTCTAGTTTAAACTCCTATTATTTTAACTGAAATACACATAGGTTATTTTACTATGTTTTATTGCTAGCTATTCTTTCTTAGATGACGGTTTGTACAGTTGCTGATGCTTGCTATGATTTGTATAGGATTCATAGGAACTGTACACATGGAACAGAATAATAGATCACCAACTGCTGGCATTGAAATAGAAGCAAAAAAGTTCTGTGTGGCTTATCTTTACAGACTACTCCAATTCATTAACACATCTTAATTCTATTCCCTGGGCCCATTGCATCCTATATACAGCAAAGGCAAAGCCATCTTTGTCCCACCCTCTGGAATTGAACAGCACTACAGAGATCAGTGCTGCATGGAAGGAGAAGTAAAGGCTATATATAGGTGTGACATCAGACATGCACAGATGCAGCACAGAGATACAGTAATGCTAATCAACCAAGTAAAGCAGCTGTACTGGGGACTAGGTGAGTCAGCAAATCTTCTGTGGAGAGAATAGCAGGCACAACAGTTGCTAAGATACCATGATTGCAACACAAAGAAAAAGTAATACAGAATGAATTTCCATATTAATAACTTGCTGCAGCTTGTATATTACAAAGTGGCATGTAGAGAAAAAAATATCATCCTACATATATAGCAAGTTCAGTTATGTGTTGGAGTAGAGTGGGGTCATGAGTGGAAGCTCATCCTGTTGGAGGACTTGAGTAGTAGCGTCCCAGTTAATAAAGAGCTGTTAATATGTTTGTTTTTTGCTATGAATATGGCTGATGGAATTAACTTGAATTCTGCTGAAAAAGTGCAAGTTGTATCAGGTACATTACCAGAATATTAATATCTATTTACTGAAAATTATCTTAAGCTCATTAATTCATGCCCTGCATAAATAATTAAGTTTACTGATGAGATGCTCTTTCTAGCTGACAGGAAAGTGACAAAAACTAATTTTTAGCTGCAGACATTGTCATTTGAAAATAACGTTGTAAATAATGCTACATTGAGACAGTTTGTGATATTATTCAAGCAATTGAAAAGTTGGGAAATTTGCCCAATATCTTCAATCTAGCTTGGAATAGGTTGGCAGTAGTTTTTGTGTAGTTTTCCCAGTTCCAGTGTTCAGAGAGATTTAATTTTTCTGTTGATAGCTAGCACAGACTATATGCATGGTAAAAATGTGGTTTGCTTTTTATGAAGAAAATGATTAGTAAGTAATCTGAGATCTTAAAATACAGAGCTCTGATTCTCCAGATGTTTAGATTCTCTGACCTGACTTGCACTGTGCTTCTGTTGATTCTTTTATTAAGAATTACTGCCAAAGAGAACAAGTGTTTTTATCCAAACAGACCACTTAACATTTTGAGTTTTCTAGACTGTTGACTTGGAAAATGGATAATGCTGTAATTGCTTTACAATTCTTAAAGAATATAATGAAAGCCTTAAGCAAATTCTACAGAGTAGAAGTGAGATGCCCCATAGCATCTCTCAAGATTCTTGGAGAGCACTGAATGTATAGAATTGGGCAGAGAGCAGCATGGAATGCAAAAAGAAAACAGAAAAAAACAGGGTTATGGGAGAAGGAACATGGATATGGGAACAATCTGAGCACCCTTGGACTAGTAGTGCAGTTATTAATTATGTACAGGGAGTTGCAGATTAGCTATGCTTTGGATTCAGAGACACCACTGCAGGATCCTTGAGGAGCCTGCATAGGCCTTTGGAATTTGCTAGCTTAGATACATTGTGGTGCAAACATAGCTGTGGAATGGCCACGGTCAGCTCAGCAAGTGATGAAAATTTTGTGAAATCATATTTTTGCTGAAGTTCAATCTATAGAAGCTTGCTTGGCTTTGCTGCTGTTCCTTCCAGTTACATTCAGCAAAACAAATCTTTTGGTATGCTTTTGGTAATATACTGTAAAGCTACAAAGGTTTGTCAGCCATCAGCTGCTATTAATGCTGTTTATGAAATTAGGCTTTTAGACTTTCTGAGAAGCAAAACCAAATTGAGAAGCAATTACCAAATAAATGAAATTGGAAGGTGAAAATGGCTTTCTAACTTCTCTTTCAGTTCATGCAGAGAGACATTATTTTGCCTGTCCTAAATAGGCAATTATATACTTTTTTGTGAAAGTGATCTCATGCTGAATGCAGGGTACAGTAAGAACCTGTTCTTAAGAACAATCTGTTAGATACAAAAGAAAAGTCAAAACTCTGAAGTCAGTCATTCATCTGCATCTCCAGTGCTATTGTTCAGGCTAGGAGAAGGAGGACTTCAGCAACAAGGACTTCTACATGAAAGAAAGGCAAGAGAAGAGTGTGCTTGCCCTAGCTATTTTACTTCTTAATTTTAAGATGTAGAGGAATGACATCAGAAATATGTACACATCCTGATATTTGAATTAAATATTTTTAAGAAAGAAATCCCTGGAGTATCTCTGACAACAGAACATACAGATCCAGGTAATCACAAGGTGTGAAGAATCATGACACCTAATCTAGTGTGTCTAGCTCCCAGAGCTACGTTTATATTCCTGAGTTTTTTTTATTAACTGATTAGTCCTAATGGCCTGTGTGTTTGATGGTAGAACAAGTCTTTGTCCTGTAGTGTCCTAAGGATTTACATTTAACACAAAAATTTTACATGTATCATTAGCATTAAATAACCTCATTTACTCCCCTGTTGCTCAGCCCATCTGTCACTCTAGTTTTATCCATTTCTTTTCTTTCCCTCTTCATGTGATCACATCCTTAACTTTTTCCAGCCATGTTCACTTAACCT